GGAGGAGGAGGAAGAGGAGGAAAAGGAGGAGGAGACGAGACGAGCGCTGGAGTCGCGAGTGCCTCACTGGTAGGCCCGCTCGAGCTCATTACGACGCGGTGTGGAGGCTGTGGTTTGAGATCACGGGAAGCGGAGTTATCACACATTCGTGCATGCAGCGTCGCCGAGGAGGACAAAGGAGGAGGAACATGACCCGAAGCAAGCCTTATTGCATGAAGCAGCTGTTCGTACTGATCCTCCGTTATCGAACGCGAGGGGTGCAAGGCGTTGAGATATGCCCACATGTGTACAAACGCTCCCCCGTCAACTTGATGCGGTACCTCGGTCCGGCAATCGGTTCCCACATATAAGGTAACTAGGAAACTGCTCTGGCGCCAATATTCAGCATTCTTTCAGGTTGAGGCTCCGTCGTTCTGGACTGGGGCATTTCTCGGATAGCTTCCACCTGTCGTAGGCAATTCCATTCTGAGTTTGCTGTCGGCATGGGGCGTCGTTCTCGGAATGCGCGTCGTGCCACACGCCACCGGTACAACCGCTGAACTGACAACGTGCTGTTTTCATGTCTGCTTGGTGGCTCTGGGGATTGCCTCCCAATTCCGAATGAAGTCATGATTTCCGACACCAATGTCGCGACACCCGACGCCGCATGGAGTAATGCAAGTACAAACTGTCATGTATTTTGAATCTGTTGAACAGTATGTGCTCAATTCAACGTTGTATCGCTGACATCCATTGCTCACACATTTCCAATGCTGTGGCTCGCCAGAACGCGTCGTAACCGAAGCCAAGACACGGTGTTCGCAATCAACCTGAGGAAACGCATTTAAGACTGGTACCTGCCGCTTCAGGTCCCTGCTTGTGCAGAAACCTGATCGCATTGCCACGCGCTAATATCTAAACTTGTCTTCCTTGACACGTAATTCGCACACATATAGACATACATGCGCATCTATCTTTATACGGATGCTTGCACATGCAACCGTAGCACTATGTGCACACATGCGCACACATATATATATATATATATACGTATACCTTTCTCTATCTCTATACATATATACATATATGGTTTGCAGGATCTCTGCTTTTCGAAGCGTCTCCAATCCATCCAAGCTGAATGCACGAAAGAAATTCTCTTTCAGGGAACCGTGCGATATCGTGATTATGATGAGTGTCATCTTGGGAACGAGACGTTCGGTGATATGTTGGCTAATGTTCCCTGTGAGCCTTCAGTCAAGGGGGGGAGGAGGGGGGGGTGGTGGAGGAGGAAGTGGGGGGGGAGGGCCAGCAATGCCTGAGCAAACCCAGCAAACAACACTGGACGAATATCATGATGAGGACGGAGTAGGCGGGAGGATGAGGAGGGGTGGGGGTAGGAATGGCAGGATGAGGAGGTGGGAGGAGGAGCAGCAGCAACAGAAAAGGTCTGCTGAAACCCAGCACACATCACTGACGCTCCAATACGCCCCCCCCCCGACGAAGGATGATGGAGGAGCAGGAGGAGGAGGAGGAGGCTCGCTCAACAGGGGTCCGTCGAGAGAATGTACACCCCCTGGCGAGTATACCAACTACTCCGTCGAGGACTTTGCGCACCTGAAGGTATACTTGATGGACCACGGGCTTGACCAACTACCTCATGATCAAAACTTGCACCGTCAGCCTACCCTTACTGGTGGCATGAAATATTACACCGAATTGTTCGACCCATCAAGTGAGGCTACGACGAGCGCCGGCTACAACATGAACGGTGCTGCCACTTGAGGCGGCTCACGGTTGTTGTGTGCCGCCTCCACTGGCACGACACAACAAACGTGGGCCCACGGACCCCATTGGCGATACGAAGCGTGCTCGTGGAAATGACGGGCCCCGATGTACAAAAAGGACCACTCTGGCCATAGCTACGTATTTCCCTGACCAGGAGGTCACTACACTACCTCGCCTTCTGCGTTACAGACGAGGCACGCCAAATATATCGCTACAGTCTACTACTATACTTCGCCTACTGCGTTGCCGACATGTTACGCCGTGAACATCGCCTCAGGCAAGGTGCTGCATCGTCCGCAAAACTACCACATCCCTTGAGTGGCCCCGCCACTCAACCCCATCATTCTGCCTCCCACCTCGTCTACTTCAGTCAGGGCATGCTGCACCCGCTCCTCCCTCCCCTCCTCCTCCCCGCAGCGCGGACGGCAATCTCTATTGATTATCACGACTTGCGCATAGAGGTCGGAGTCTACGACGCCGACCGCATAGACACCAATAGGTTTTTGCAGACACCTGCGGCAGTCTACAGGGCGGAGCCCTACCAGGGCAAGGGCCACGTCTCGCTCCCCGTCGCCGACCCCGAGAAGGCGCAACGCCACCGCATCAAGACGTGCGAGGAGAACATCCTCACGTTCTACGCATGTTCGGGGGATGACGGTGAGTACAACACCGATCGACGTTGGGGGGCCATATATGATAAGGCCCACCCCCTGGATGGAACCACTACGCTCTACGTTCGCGCTACCTCAATGCTGTTACGTGTACCTACTTACCCCCCTCTGACCGGGGACGACCAAAATAAACGTATTCTCCGAGCCGTACGCGATGTAACCGTGAGCACGGAGGACTACCTTGCGTCGGCAAGCTCAGGTACGCCTTGCAGAAGAAACTCTTCACGGATGTGTGCAACTTCGACATACAGTACATTGACCAGCTCGTAGTGCACAACTACCCCGAGTGCGCGATCAAATACAACAGCGGGAACCCGCACTACGACCCGCTCGCGGCTAAGTCGGATAAGTACACCATACGGCTGCGCAAGGCGGACGGTGTGTACATTGAAGAAGGATGTTACGACGAGAAGAGTCATACCGACGAGCGCCGCCCCTTCAAGCTCACCAAGTTCATGAATCTGTCGTACCATATGTGCATCAACGACGACAACAAAACTGAATGTATCGACTTCAAGTACAATTGCGTGGTGCACTACAACATGGGCAACAAGCGCAAGAAGGACGACAGCAAAGAGTAAGAGGCACAACGGTTTGTATTATTACTATTATTACTACGTGGGCAATGCATCGATACTTCGGATACGCACCCTCCACCGAGAAATCTCTTCCCATAAATGTACATACTACGTGAAACCCAACGTATGCCCAGCGCCTTGGTGCATTGAGAAAAAAAGCGGTACATCATGATCGGCAAGTCTGCCTCCCTACTCCGAACTCTCCCAACAATACTAGGAACATACGGGCGATCCCCATGAGATGAGTGTCTACACAAACAAGTACTTCAAGTACGAAGGACCTGGACGACTACCGAAACAACTTGCACCCTTGCGTTTACACCGCGGGGCACTTGAGATACCAATGAGTAATATTACGGTTGCATTGGATGTGGCACTATGCGGTCATACATTCAATACCTCTACAACATGCTGAGCACCACTGCGGTATACCGTTACTCTACGTTTTAGCGACGCATACTACCACTTCGCACACTACGATGGTAGCCTTACCGTTTGTACATGCTGAGCCATATAAAGTGCTGACTGCAACCATCGGCTCAAAGCTACATATCGATACGACCTGGAGCAACTACGTCGCTGTGCATACTACACGTTGCAATGAGCAGGTCTGTAGGTACTGACCCGCAGGTGACCCATGCAAATCAAGAGGATAGGGTATGGATTTAACAACTCCCATACGAGGACAAACGGGTACAACTGATGTGCAAAACGCAAATGGGCTACAACGAGGACAGGTACTTCAGGGTCGCGGACGTCAAACAGGCCCTTCGCCACTACCTGAAATTCACAAACAACGGCGCCGTCAATGTGTACAAAGCCAAATGCGGAGAGGCCCAGTAAGACGTGCCGCCAGACAACATACCCCAAAGACCACATCACCTCCAAATACCGCCTACTCCGCTTGGACCGGACTTCTGGCTACCTACGAGGGCGTACATCATCATCATCATCATCATCATCATCATCATCATCATCATCATCATCATCATCCTCATCCTCATCCTCATCCTCATCCTCATCCTCATCCTCATCCTCATCCTCATCCTCATCCTCCTCATCATCATCATCGAAACTGCTCCATGGCCAAAGGCGGCACGATTTCCAATATACTTGCATGTCCACCCGGAACAAGAGCCTTACATCACGCTCGACAGAACTATCACACCGACCATCATGGACCTGAGGAAGTCAGCTATTCAGAAGCTATACAGCATGGAGGAGACCGACGACGACAACACCAGCATAAGCATCATCACCATATGCTATATGAGCCATAGTACCCAGGAGCTCCCTGATACGTAGAAGCTCCACTGCCACCCAACGCTTGCAGCGGCCCCATGTACTACATCGAGATCATCGGACCCGACGGGAACGAGATCGACCACGAACACTGCACGAACAATGGCCTCCCGTCCCTCACAATGGGTACCAAGCGGCAGCCAGGTCTCGACCCCGATCTGGAACGCAACGCCAAGGGGCTGCGTAGCAACACCTCGCAGTAGTACTTCGCCATCAGCGCTGCAGACATGGGTATCTTATGTGCATCGCTACTTGCAGCGTGCCGCGTCTCCGCGGTAGCTACCGGGGGGCCTCCGCGTCCGCGGCGGCGGGTGCGCGCGCGCGCCCGGAGGCGCGGTCGCGGATCGGGGACCCGCGGAGCCGTGCGTGCGCGCGCTGGAGGCCGAGGAGGAGGAGGAGGAGGAGGAGGAGGAGGGAGGAGGAGGGAGCAGGAGGAGGAGGAGGAAGAGGAGGAGGAGGGAGGAGGAGGAGGAGGCGGAGGAGGAGGCGGAGGAGTAGGAGGAGGAAGCGAGGAGTAGGAGGCGAAGGAGGAGGAGGAGGAGGGGGAGGAGGAGGAGGAGGAGGAGGAGGAGGAGGAGGAGGAGGAGGAGGAGGAGGAGGAGGAGGAGGAGGAGGAGGAGAGTTGGCACGCTGGAATGGCGACGTCCCGCTGCAAGTCCGAGCCCCCTGCGCCCGCCCTCCGGGCCTCCGTGGCGTGGGCGTCATGTCCCGGGGGAAGTAGACGCAGTCGCTGGGCTGCACCTTCGTCGACCCTTTGCACTCTGGGTCCAGGGGCTCGGAAGCCGCGAGCTGCGAGCACGCACAGGGGCCCATGGTCCTCTAACGCCCTGATCGAATCGGCGCGGCTGGTGCCCGTGAGCTCGGTCCCCCCGCCTGCTTCGGGCCTCTGAGTCTGGTGAGCAACCAAGAAAGGACCCCTGACCCTGTGGGAGGGGACCTGAGCTAGGAAGGCTGACAGCATTAAGGATATGGGCACTATCTGCGGATGTATCGAACCAAACCGCCCACACGTAAGATCCCTCATGCACAGATGGGGACCTCAGTGAGGCCACACGTCTTCAGTGTTATTGGGGTCAGGGGTTCTTTTATCCTCGACAAGACAGTCTGGGCCCACAGACAAGCAGCCAACGGCACGAAGCCATGCAGAGCTGGGGTCGATTGCTCCAGAGCCCCGCGGGTCGGACAGGCGGGAAGCGTGGGGAGGAAGGCTCGGTAGGGCACTCTGGGTTGAGGCGCTTCTGGACTGACTTTGGGGCTTGACGCCCTCCTGACGGCGCCGACTCGGACCACACGCCGCTCCTGTCGCCGAGAACCAAAAAATGTGGCGCTTCGGGGTCGCTGGCAAGAGGGCAGGTTTCACATACCATGGGATCGATCACGCGCGCGCCCAGCCAACGCGAGCTCGACGGATAAAATGCATCAGTGATCCATGCCCCCTGTCAGCGCCACCCAGAAATGCCGCTCCAGCGACCCCCCATTGCTCTTAGGTCGGGCCAGTCCCCCTACAGGGGGATTTTGGGCGAAAACTTAAAACATACTCCAAACATTCCCGAAAATGACCAAACAAATAATCAAAACATCGTCCCCAGGCTATTTTTCGACTATTTTTGAATCTTCCCCCTGTAGAGGGACAGGCCCGACTTAACATCGCGCTCGCCTCCCGCTTCGAAGCCCATGGAGGGGCGGAAGCGGAACCCCGCCCTCTGGCACAGCCAGGAAGCGTCCGCCCGCGCGGCCTCGCCGCCCTGCACGACCCAGACCTTGAGCAGGGACCGACCGTCCCGGCATTCCTATAGTCCTACCACGACATGTTCTTAGAACCCAAAAATGTTCTAAGAACACAAACAGTGTTCTTAGAACATGATAAGATGTGTTCAAACAAGACAGTCCCAGCCAGACATGATCTAAGAACATGTCGTGGGAACCACCAAATAGGCACGCCAGGACGCTTCGCCACTGCTTGAAGACCTGCCTCGAGGCGATCAGCTTCTGAGCTGCGTCCCAATTGGAGCACACGTGCTTCATGACCCAGCGGTCCAGACGCACTGGGGGCGCATCTTCAGGCACGCGCCGGCGCGCAAAAGGTCCCAGGCCGACGGGCTCAGCGAGCCCAGCGTCCGAGGTGGTGCTGGTGCCCCGGAGCAGCGGCAGGCAACCAGCTCGCCTTATGCGCAGTGCCCGCATGGCCCTCCCTGTCGCCACGGCGAGGGAACACCATGAGCTGGGAATGCCCTCCCGCCTTGGTTCAAGACGCCTGCGGACGTGATCGTGGACACGACAGTGCTGACGGCAACGAGAGCGACCATGCGCACAGACACGAACACAACTATGACGAGTGCAGTACTGATGTGACTGCACGCGACAAACAAACACGCTAGCACTGGCAACGGCGATACATATGATGATGACAACGATGATGATGCTGCTGCTGCTGATGATGCAGTTGGTGATGATGTAATAACCATGGTGGTGATGAGGGGGATTCTGAACATAAATATGAACATGCATATGATGATGCCTATGCCGAATGTGGTGACGATGGCGGTGATGAAGTTGATCATGGTGATGATGATGATGATTTGTGGCAACATTGTGAATTACGGCAGCGAGTCTGCTATTATTAAGGAAGATTCGAGCGATCAGTGTGTACATATTTCTAAGCGCATGCATGTCGTGCCACATAGAAGCGTGACCACGAGCCAGACGCTCCCATGTTTAAGCTCTAGAGGTTGAGCTGCGCTCTGGAAAGGTAATCTCAGATCTCGGAGATGCAGGCGGGCGTCGAGAGTGGGTGAGAAGCTAAGCCAATCCACCGTGTATCTCCTTTAATGTTTAGTTTCCTTATCCCTCAAATACCGCTAATCTCCTTCAAGGCATCTGCCCCACCACCCTACCGCCTGCTGGCGTGGCTGCAGTGGTCCTACGCAAGCGGATGGGCCCGATCCACGTCTGCCAGTCCACCGCTCTCTGGATGGCATTTTTTCCCTGCGCAACGCCTTTCGTCTGTGGTGTCGACGACTCGATGCGCAAGGGCGACGAAGCAGGCCGTGCATAGGCGTCAGCAGTGTGCCCTCTAGTTCTCCAAGGGCGGCCCTAACGGCTTGATGCAGGCCTCGTGTTCTGCCTCTAGAGCGGGAAGGTGGTACCACTGCCACCCACTGCTCGTCAGAGCTTCAAAGCATACATCATCCTCGTGGCTGGTCATGGCCGCAGGTAGTCATGGTAGGAAGCTTTTTGTGACCCAGGGGGGGCACCTGATGTAGCCCTGAACGTGGCACCAGAGGACGGACCTCGAATCGTGGGCCAGGTGGGTGGGGTCAATGCATGTTCATCATCTGGTGCCGCAGGGGGCTTTCCTGACCCTCCGCTCGGCCAGCCCTCCCTCCAGCCGCCCACTTGCTACGCTCTTCCTGCCCTTCCCCCTACACTTGCCGCCCCCTCCCCTGCCGCCCACCTCGCCTCCGTCCCTTGCCGCGATTCTGCCTCCACCACGCCCTCCCACCCCCGCTCCCGCCACCCCTCTCTCAAAGCTTCTCCTGTTGCTCTCTGCCCTTTGGCATCCCCCTTCCCTGGATCCCGCCCCCTCCCCCCACTGCTGGCTCCGTGCTGTCACCCCCATCCTGCCGCCCCCCTTCCAGCCCGCCAGCCCCTCCTGCTGCCGCCCTTGGTGGAAGATGACAAAGGGCATGGGCGAGGGATAACAACTCATGCCGTGCTCAAGGCCGCAAGGGCAGCCCCCTGGTGTGACCCTAAAGGCACAAGTGCTGCCTAGGCCGTCGGCTACAGCTGCAGCTACAGCGACAATCGTGACTGCGACGAGGCCTGCGGAGCTTGTTGCAGCGAGGGCGCCGGCAGTCCTCGACGGGCAGAGCAAATGTGCACAGCAATACATGCGATAATCTAAATACATCCTGGCGATTTCTGCCCGGTAATTACTTCGCCTCGCAGAGTGGATCACGCACGTGCAGACAGGCATGGGCGTGGGGTGGGTAGTGGAGCGCGTTTCTTTCTTCCTCCTGCGTCCTTGTCGCAGCCCGTGCGGCTGAGTCAGCTCCATCGACGGCTCCCGAGGCCATTCATGCAACAGCGGCCCAGGCCAATGCGGCCGTGCCGCTAAATGACCCTGCTGCTGGTGTGGCATCGGCCGCGCTAGCTGCTGCAACGGCTGCTGCGGTGGCTGATGCGGTGGGTGCTGCGGCAGGTGCTGCGGCGAGTGCTGCGGCGGGTGCTGCAAAGGTTGTCGCGGCGGGTGCTGCGGCGGGTGCTGCGGCGGATGCTGCGGCGGGTGCTGCAGTTGCTGCTGCGTTTGCTGAAGCTGCCACTGCTGGTGTAGCTGCACCAGCTGCTGATGCCCGTGCGCCGCTCCTGACTGTGAAACTTGAGGCTGCGAGGGCAGCCGCTGCTGCTGCTGCTGCTGCTGCTGCTGGACAGCCTGCTGCTGCTGCTGCTGCTGCTGCTGCTGGACAGCAGCTGCTGCTGCCGGACAGCCTGCTGCTTGGGCCTGCCTCTGCTGCTGGAGGGGCTGCTGCACGGGCGGCTGTCGCAGCTGCCCCAACTGATGTGCTGGCTGCTGCTGCAACTGCGTTGGCTGCTGGATCGTCGCAGCAGGTTGCGCCTGCTGCGGCGGCAGCTGCTGCTGGTGCGGCCGTGTCGGTGTCGGCGCCCTGGCGGGGGCCGTTGCCGTCGAGGCAGCGAGTTGCTTCGCCTGCGGCACCGGTGTGGGCGCGGGGGTGTGGCTGATGACCGGTGGCTGCAGCGTGGCCTCGGTCGGGGGGCTGCTCGGGGCTGGGGGCTTGGCCGTCTTGGGGCCCAGAGAGAGAGAGAGAGAGCTCTGGCGCGCAAAACGGAGGCGATTCAGTGGCGAGGAGCATTCTTCGCCACGGATCAGAGACCTACTTGAAAGACCAACGACTCCTCTCCCTCTCTATCTCTCACTCTCTCTCTCTCTCTCGCAGTATTGCAATGGTTCGTCACACGAAGGCCCCAAGAGGACCGCCAAGATGGTTTTCAGAAGCCACAATACATTATTCCCAATTGGTTTTGGCACACTCTGTTGTTCTCGCCTTTCCGGGCCTGCGGACGCCGAAAAGGGGCCACGATGCCTCCGAGATGGCCCCAGAGGCCCCCAAGATAACCCCAACAGGGCCTCGAAATGGCCGAAAAGGATCCCAAGACCAGCCAAGCGAGCACCTAGACGGCCCCAAAGGGTCCCAGAGAGTCGCCGAAAGACCCCCAAGCCAGCCAAGAGGCACCAGAGACGGCCCATGGGGGCCCCAAGAAGGTCCACGAGGGCCCTTAGTAAGCCCCAGAAAGCCCCAAGAACCCACTACGGGCCCCCAAAGGGGCCCCTTATAAGGCCACAAGAAGCCCAGGAGGGCGCCAATTGGGCCCCAAGAGGGAGAGGAATAGGAGGGTGAGGGTGGGGGTGAGGGTGATGGTGACGAGGAGGAGGAGGAGGAGGAGGAGGAGGAGGAGGAGGAGGAGGAGGAGGAGGAGGAGGAGGAGGAGGAGGAGGAGGAGGAGGAGGAGGAGGAGGAGGAGGAGGAGGAGGAGGAGGAGGAGGAGGAGGATTTTTTCACTGTATGCTGCTACAGACGGCACTGCAGGTGAATGCGTGGACGGCTGCAGGATGAAGGGTGCCCAGCACCGAAGTTAAAAAGTGCACTGAAGCAACGACACCAGCACAGAAAAGTAAAGGCCAGAGGAGGTTGGAGCACCCTGGGGGTGGGAACCAACACAGAGTCCTCTGGGCAGGTGGCCCCGCCAGCTCCCAGAGACCCCGAGGGGGGTGGAAGCAAGTGGTGCGGCCGTCAGCGCGCTAAAGCTGAACGACGGGCTCCTGCCCGGAATCCCACACGCGAGAGCTCTGCTGCGGAGGCAATCCTTTGCGAACTCGCTGCAAAGCCTGCAGCTGCTTAGGGGAAATACGGTGCGGCCCATCCAGGGCCACAACGCAACCAGCTAACAGGTTGACCGGTCGCTGCGTGGCCCACGCACCACACAAACCACAAAATGTATATTTGCCTTTATGCCACAGCTCATGTGAAGAAGATAGTTGCTGCCCTGCAATGAAAGCAGGGTGGGATACGAGCACAGGCGGATCTTCCATGCCAAGCCTGATCCAAAGGGCACCATCGATAGGGGCCAGGGGACCAGGCGCAGACCACAGGCGGGGGGGCGGGACAGGGGCCCTCGGAGCCAGGGCCGCGCAGGCAGAAAGGACACGGTCCCGAACCCCCCGAGTCTTTTCTTTGGCATGGAGTCCGCATTCAGAACAGCGCCAGAGACCAGGCGCGTGCAATACAAAATGGTGCTGCGATCGGCTCACAAAATCTACTCGCTTCTGGCGGAGGGCGAGCAGCCTCGGAACCTTTGCTTTCACGACCACGCGCTCCTTGTTCTTCGGCTTACTCGCGATCTCCAAAGTGAGAGTGGCAATCCGGAGCAATACCTGTTTGGCCTTCAGCTCAAGCGCCAGCAAAGCCTGGCACTGGTGCGCGCGGGTACCTGATGCGCATCTGCTTTACTGGCGGCGAGCTCGTCCGCTACGCGATTGATATAGACATGATACGGGTCAGTGCTTCTCCAAAACCGTTCAAGCTTGTCCGAATTCTCTGCTAAATGTGACGGCACATGCACTAGCTCAAGGGGAACAGACCTTTTACTAGCCAACACCCAGAACTCCCACCACAGGTCAGCATTGGCAAGGTGAAGGCAGTGGTTCCTGCCCTTATCATAGGCCTTGACATGATTTATATGGTCACATACAATCACGAGCGAATCAGACCACCTGACATGGCGTACAATCTCCACGAGAGTAGTGAGCTCTGCTCTGGGAACACTCTGGCGGGAGCTGTCACAGACACCTGTAACTCCATGGCTCCAGGAAGGCACTCCGTCCTCATCAACATCCAGGCGAGCAAAACTAACGGAGACTCTGCGGAGAAGCGGGTGCTGCGACCACTGTCCGCCTGCACCATCAGAGCCATAGGTTCCGCCAGGGAATGGGGTCGAGGGCTCGCACCCGAGGTACTCCAGAAGGCGAGAGGAAGGAGAGGGAGGAAGATCCAACCAATCACTGGGAATGAGCCCTCTTCCCCAGAAAATTTGGGCAACCTCGAAATCTGCAAGGGCCTCATGCCGCAGATGCTCAGTGTCAGTCACCCGGGCGCTGTCATGACTGGCATTACACATGCATTCCCAAGCCCTGTGCTGAGGGCTCTCGTCGGATCGAAAACATCGCTGGCAAACGCTATCGGGAACAATGCCACATTCGAATTTGCGCGATTCTGTCCACATGCCTCCGGCCGCAATGGTTCTGACCATTGCTGCCAGACCTGCCTCACCGTCTTTCGTGAGTTTCCTAGCGAGCTCTCCCACGTGCTGCCAAGAGACTCCTCGCTCAGCACCTTTCCCGAGATAAAACTTAGAGGCCTCCAGCCACTGCATGCTCTCGATGCTGGCGCTCAAATCCTCCAATAACGGAGTGGCAGGGAAAGATGCATCCTCTACCAAAGCCCAGGAATCTCCCGCCGGATTGATAAATTCGCGAGCGCTGGGGCAAGACCACCCTATGTGCAACAAGCTCGCCTGCAAGGCTGAAAGTGGGCCCCTCACCCAACTCCAGCCTTTCTTCGCTCTGTCCAACGAGATCTGCCAGGCAGCTTCAACTCGAGAGAAAAGATTCGGGCGTTTTGCGAGCCGGCCCAGCCACGTGGCTACGAGGCGACGAATGTGGACCTGGACAGGGTCACGGCCCGCCCCGAAAGACAGCCTGATAGCAGTGGTCGCACACGTGCCTGGACCACTCACAAGACTACTGGCATGCGCACCTCGGCGCAGCAATCGGAGACTAGAAGGGCTGATCCCGTGCACTAGCCCACATCGCCTTGGGGTAGGCATTAGTAAAATATAACTTCGGCGAACGCTTGTCGGCACGAATGAAACGCCTGATCTTGCCGGCAGCCCGGGCCCCCTTGCGAAACCTATCCTGCCGGACCTTGGCCGCGCGACGATTCAAGAAGGTTGTGTCATGGCCTAGATCCCTAGCGTGCAAAACTGCCCCGACGCCTGCCAATGCAGTACCTGCCGCTGCTTGCGAAAGCTGATTCCGCAGCGAAGCATTCGAGGCCAGAAAAACACACTTTGGAACTGAGAGCTGGCACTTGGCCTTCAGGAGGCCCCTCACCAACGTGCGAACAACAACAGGGAAGATGCCGAGGATCGACTGCTCAGTTCCGAAGATGCGAAACGCGATGTCATCAACCCACTGCCTTAAATGAAGGGCTGCGCTGGCATTAAAAGCGGCATCACAGGCACTGTAAAGACACGCGCGCGAGAGAGAGACAGCCTGTCCGCAGCCCGGCAAAACACCTCCCGACGGGAGGACACCTCTGTGAACAGCCTGGTCCAACGTGAGAAGCCTCGGCCCTAGGTACGCTTCCACGGCGAGCGCCAAGAGCCGCACAGGATATCCAAAATCCCTGGCAGCTTCGGCCAACGCTGCCATCTCGAGTTGGTCGTACAATTTAGCGAGGTCGAGAAGACCCCCTCCGACCATGAACCCTCGAAGGATGGCCAATTCACTTTCCAACTCATCCAACCACCCCGCCTCATCAGCCCCACCGCCCACGGACTTATCCCACACCCCGTGGTGGGCAGAATCCCACTTAGAAATGTACGGGTGCCGTATGCGTACCAAGACGACATAGGCAAAGCCCATTAAGGCGATGGGGCGGAAGCCTCCGTCAGGCTTATCTAGAAGCGCAACGAAACAGAAAGCCTGGGACAATGGCAGGGTGGCCGAGCACTCGATATCCGTGAGCAGCGCAACGAACTGCATCTTGGCTTCTACACTGGCCTCCTTGATCAACCGAGGGGGAATCAGGTCAGGGCCGCGCCCTGGGCCGTCAGGCATTGATTTCAACGCCGCGTCCAACGCATCAAGCGTGATGGGATCTAGAGGCGGGCTTTCACGAGCCAACGACCGCAAATCGGCAAGACACTTGCGAGCAGAGTCGGCGGAGTGTTGTTGCCAGTAGCCCGACCACACACGAGCCTGAAACTCCAAACGTTC